TTGGGGAGGCGCGGAATGCGATCAACCATCTCCACACCGCTAAGCTGCAGCCTCGAGGCAATTGTTTTTAGTTTAGTTTAGTTTTAGTAGAGGTTTCACGCTGCTCGCGACTGCATACGGCCATATGAGCGCCAGAAGAATAGAGGTGTTACAAGAGAGTAGAAAACATATAAAAAAGAAGTTTAAAAAAAAGTTTTATTAATAGTTTTACGGCACTTGCAACACAGTAAGGTCATATAAATGCCGAAGATTACAGGACGTTACAAGAGAGTAACAGACACAAAAAAGAAGGAGGGGAGATAAGGATGATAGGTGTTTGATAGTAAAGAAGGAGCAAACCACACCAGAGCACCCACCAACAATCCACTAAAAAAGAAGAAGGGGAGATAAAGACGATAGATGTTTGATAGGAAAGAAGAAGCAAACCACACCAGAGCACCCGCCAACCACCCACTCTCACAGGAGGGAACAAGGGAGGAGAGGTCACATTGAAAATGGTCGCACGGGTGGGAAGAAGGGAGTGATACAAGAGGTTTGTTTGTTTTAGTAAGCGTTTTACGGCACTTGCAACACAATAAGGTCATATGAGCGCCAGAAGATCAGAGGTGTTACAAGAGAGTAACAAACATAAAGCAGAAGGAGGGGAGATAAGGACGATAGATGTTAGATAGAAAAGAAGAAGCAAACCACCCCAGAGCACCCGCCAACCACCCACGGGAAGGAACGATCACCTTGACAATGGTTTCACGGGTGGGAATAAGGGAGAGACACAAGAGGTTAGAGGTCAAAGAGACAAGAGGTTAGAGGTCAAAGAGACAAGAGGTCAGTGGTCACCTTGACAATGGTCTCACAGGTGGGAATAAGCGAGGAGAGATACAAGAGGCGAGGGTCAGTGAAAGGTCAAGAGGTCCGAGGTCACCTCGACAATGATCAGACAGGCGGGAACAAGAGGTGAGAGTTCACCTTGACAATGGTCTCACAGGTGAGCGTGGCTGTGCGGTGGCTCTGGGTGAGCACACTGATCTCCCCGATGACGTTGCCCGTGGACAGGAAGTCCAGCGTCTGCATGGACTGTAGGGGGGTCAGGTTACCCTGCTCCATCGGCGCCTCCACCTGGGGCAATACAACAGACAGTTCATCAGACAGACAATACAACAGACAGTTAATTAGCCAGACAATACAACAGACAGTTAATTAGCCAGACAATACAACAGACAGTTCATTAGCCAGACAATACTACAGACAGTTTATCATACAGACAATACTACAGACAGTTTATCATACAGACCATACAACAGACAATACAACAGACAGTTCATCAGGCAGACAATACTACAGACATTTCATTAGCCATACAGTACAACAGACAGTTCATCATACTGACAATACAACAGACAGTTCATCATACATACAAAACAACAGACAGTTCATCGCACAGACAATACAACAGACAAAACAACAGACAGTTCATCGCACAGACAATACAACAGACAATACAACAGATAGTTCATCGCACAGACAATACAACAGACAATTCATTAGCCAGACAATACTACAGACGGTTTATCATACATACAGACAATACAACAGACAGTTCATCATACAGACAATACAACAGACAGTTCATCATACAGACAATACAACAGACAGTTCATATTAGACTTGTCAAAGCTAAAGTGGAATCTGTCCTAGACAATCACAAGTACAAACATCCACTTCCCACATATCTTGCCATACTGATTACAGGCGTATTTATATTTATGCATTTATGTATTACGTATTTATTAAATGATTGATTGATTTACCTTCTGACTACTTTGTCATCTATTTGTTTATTTATTTATCTTTTTATTTATTTACCTTCTGACTACTTTGTCATCTATTTGTTTATTTATTTATCTATTTATTTATTTACCTTCTGACTACTGGCTCATCTATTTATTCATTTATTGAACTTCTGATTACTGCTAATCTACTTATTTATCTATTTCTTTACCTTCAAAATACTGGCTCATCTATTAACTGATTTATTTATTTATCCATTTATTTACCTTCAGATTACTGGCTCACCTATTTATTTATTTATTTACCTTCAGATTACTAGCTAATCTCGTTGGTTTTTTAAAACAATAATTAATTAATTAATTTACTTACTGATTACTGGCTTATCTGTTTATTTATTTATTTATCTTTTTATTTATTCATTTGTTTGTTGGCTCGTTCATTCATTCATTTATAATAATAACAATAGATAGCATTTGTATGGCGCAAATCCCCACTCAATAGCAAGCTCTATGCGCTTCACATTCAATACTATTACCCCAGCAGACCTGAGAGCATTCGGAAACAACCTCAACTTCCTGGGAAGCATACAGTGCAAGCAGCCATTTACAGGCTCTAAAACACTCACATACTAACAAGATCTTTCGCTGTCTATGGCGGGGTACCCATTTCCACCTGGGTGAAGTGAGGAAAATTCGTGTAAAGTGCCTTTCCCAAGGACACAAGGCTCGAGCCCCCGAACCTGCAACCTCACGATTAGAGTCCGGTAGCCTAACCACTAGACCACCGATGCCAACTTTATCGACATGTATTTATTCATTACCATACAAAATACTGGATCATTTATTTTTCTACTTAGCGTACTGCTGACTGTCGTGGGTGGTTGGTGGGTGCTCTAGTGTGGTTTGCTTTTCTTTCCTACCAAACACCCATCGTCCTTATCTCCCCTTCTTCTTTTTTATGTTTGTTATTGTTACTCTCTTGTAACACCCGTAATCTTCTGGCGCTCATATTACCTTATGCAGTTGCATTTTTTTTCTTTCATTGCTTTTTTTTAGTGATAAATAATCCGCAGTCGGGTTGCTAGGCCTGTCACAGTTTCACCAGAGCCCCGTTAGCCAGCAACCTTTCGGGGTGACCCGGGTTCTCCTTCACGGCTAGCGTGACGCTTCAGTGGCATGATAAAGCCACACTGAATACTTCGTTGAACCCACCCAGTTGTCCAGTTAGTTGCGAACGCAACGGTCGTGTCTATCCTCACCTTGACTAACCTCTTCTGGCGCTCATAATATGACCTTACGCAGCTAGTTGCGAGCGTCGTAAAACCTCTCATCGACCGGTGCCTTGCCGACTGGCGTGGGCGACCATGGACCTCCATTTCACTAACTCTGTCCCGCGTTGCAGCATTTAGTAAAACCTCTACTAAAAACTAAAAACTGTCGTGTCTATCCTCACCTTGACTAACCCACTGATGATGAAGTAGATGCCGTCGGGCCGGTCCCCGCAGCGCATGATCACCTCCCCGTACTGGAACAGCTTCTTCTCCGCCAGCTCGTGGATCAGGTCCACCAGCTCCTGCTCCTTGTCGATCCACGGTATGGCCGCCAGGATCTTCTTCACCGACGGAATCTGCAGCTTTGGGGGCGCCGCCTGCAGGCGTTTCATCTTCGACTCGATCACCTGCAAGGAAAGTAGGGAAGGAAGGAAATCCTTCAATAGTTTACCTACAAGGAAAGAAGGAAGGAAGGAAGGAAGGAAGGAAGGAAGGAAGGAAGGAAGGAAGGAAGGAAATCCTTCAATAGTTCACATATTCTTTTTTTTTTTTTTGAGTAGAGGTTTTACGGAGCTCGCAACTGCATACGGTCATATGAGAACCAGACGATTAGAGGTGTTATAAGAGAGTAACAAACATAAAAAAGGAAGGAGGGGAGATAAGGACGATGGATGTTTGGTAGGCAAGTGTGTCGGCACAAACACAATAATAATAATAATAATAATAATAATACGTTGACCTTAATGAAGAGCAAGCCCTCCGGCTCGTCGATGCCGCCATCTTCCATGAGCTGGTTGATCCCTTCCCTCATCACGTTCAGCACAGACCGGATGGCGTGGCGAGTCTTCACGCCCAGAGCTATATCTGGATGCAAGCCTTGCAGGAAACCTGCCGCCATGACAGACGATACGATACACGGTATTAAATTAGAACTTAGGAAAAACGGAGAAATAAGTGAAAGTGTGTGTGTGTGTGGGAGGGGGGGGGGATATTTTAGAGCGAAAGAAAATACAGAGAAATAAGGGGGGGGGGAGTGAGGGGGTGCAACTTACTGGTATAGAACAATGGCATATTACCAGCAGTATGATCAGCCACTGACCCGTATCCCATTGTGGTGAAATGATGACTTAACTTAACGGGCCCGTATCCCATTGTGGTGATGTAATGACTTAACTTAACGGGCCCGTATCCCAATGTGGTGATGTGATGATTCCACCCACCCGTACCCCAATGTGGTGATGTGATAACTACATGCTGGATCACCATCATCATTCGTTGCCGTGCCTACTGGCGTGGGCTATCATGGACCCTCTACTTCACTCTGTCTTGCGTTGCAGCGATAGTGTCTGTTTTTCTTGCCTCTCCCAGCCATTTTTTCAGCTTGTCCAGTATCTTTTCCCTCTCTCTGCCCCTGCCTCTCTTTCCATCAAACTTGCCTGTTGTTACAATATTCTCCAATGCTTCTTTTCGCATTGTGTGTCAAAAGAAATTTGCAGGTCGCTTTCGTATATTTGTTTCAACCAAGACTTCATTTGTTTTTCTAGCGGTCCAGATGATACGCAGCAAGCGTCTTATGAACCACAACTCTGTCGCCACAATTGTTCTTTCCAGCAGTCTATTGATTGCCCATGCTTCGCACCCGTATAATAGGATAGGCTCGATGCAACTTTTCAGTTTCATTTTTTGGAAGGTTGCTTTTGCTTGGCAAATGCGGCTTTTAATTTCGCTGAGACATTCTGAATATTCCCTCCGAGCTGTGCCCTCTCACTCTCAGCATTTCTCCTACCTTGATCCTTCTTCTTGACTATTTGGTCACTTTTAAGCACAAGGGGGCTATCCCAAAAAAAGCTGTTTTGAGAAAATCCAAGTTTTTTCCCCTTGTTCAACACAATAAGGTCATATTATAAGTGCCGAAGCTTAGAGCTGTTACAAGAGAGTAACAAACATAAAAAGAGGGAGGGGAGATAGAGACGATAGTTTTTTATAGGAAAGAAGGAGCAAACCACACCAGAGAACCTGCCAACCACCCACATATACCACAAAAACACAGCCATCAACACCCACAACTACCACAACCCACAGCCAACAACCTGTCCCCGTGGTTTTATGCACCCCGCATAATTTAGCAAAATGTGATCATTTTTTGCATAATTTCTCATTATTTTCCTTTATCAATCTTTGTTTAAATTAACAGAGTTGAATAATGATTTCACATTTTTGGGCTCAGCTTGCATCATTTCAGAATTTTTCTCGCATAAAACGACGGGGAGGGCATCTTCAAGAAGAAAAGAGCTCAGTGGGAGGTTGGCGGGTGCTCTGGTGTGGTTTGCTTCTTCTTTCCTATCAAACATCTATCGTCTTTACCCCCCCCCCCTCCTTCCATTTTGTGTTTGTTACTCTCTTGTAACACCTCTAATCTTCAGCACTTATATGACCTTATTGTTTTGCAGGTGCCGTAAAACTATTACTAAAACTGAACTAAAAGAGAATTTTCCTTGCATAAAACGACGGGGACAGATCAACACTCTATGACGTCTCTCTCACCCAGTTCTCTCAACATCTTCATCTTAGAGCTCTCCGCTTTCTTCCGGATGGCGTTGCGGACCCCGGCGTCGTCCGAGATCTGGTCAATGAGTCTCATGGCCAGCTGGCGGGGAAAAGGAATGTCAGCAAGGAAGGTCAAGGAAAAGGAAGGTCAAGGAAAAGGAAGGTCAGCAAGGAAGGTCAGCTTGGAAGATCAGGGAAATGGAAGGTCAGGGAAAAGGAAGGTCAGCAAGGAAGGTCAGGGAAAAGCAAGGTCAGGGAAAAGGAAGGTCAGGGAAAAGGAAGGTCAGGGAAAAGGAAGGTCAGGGAAAAGGAAGGTCAGGGAAAAGGAAGGTCAGCAAGGAAGGCCAGGGAAAAGGAAGGTCAGCAAGGAAGGTCAGGGAAAAAGAAGGTCAGAGAAAAGGAAGGTCAGGGAAAAGGAATGTCAGCAAGGAAAGTCAGGGAAAAGGAAGGTCAGCAAGGAAGGTCAGGGAAAAGGAAGGTCAGGGAAAAGGAAGGTCAGCAAGGAAGGTCAGGGAAAAGGAAGGTCAGCAAGGAAGGTCAGCAAGGAAGGTCAGCAAGGAAGGTCAGCAAGGAAGGTCAGGGAAAAGGAAGGTCAGAAAGAAAGGTCAGCAAGGAAGGTCAAGGAAAAGGAAGGTCAGCAAGGAAGGTCAGGGAAAAGGAAGGTCAGCAAGGAAGGTCAGCTTGGAAGGTCAGGGAAATGGAAGGTCAGGGAAAAGGAAGGTCAGCAAGGAAGGTCAGGGAAAAGGAAGGTCAGGGAAAAGGAAAGTCAGCAAGGAAGGTCAGGGAAAAGGAAGGTCAGCAAGTAAGGTCAGCAAGTAAGGTCAGCAAGGAAGGTCTGAAAGGAAGGTCAGCGTCACGGTGAGCAGAGAGCACGGCGCACTAGCACTGGAATTTATACATGTAGTTGCAGCGGGGGTGGGAGAGGGGTGGGGGGTCCCGCCTAGCAGGCTAAAACAGTAGTACCTGGACATGGACTGCTGGTGCCTCTATAAATAAATTGTTGATGGTCAAGGTCCCCGCCGAGCGCCTTGTCACGTCGGGGTCACGGGGTTCAGTTCCGTGTCGCCGCTCTGTCTGGGCTAACTAACCCCTTTTGGTACTTTTCATCGTAAAGTTTTAGGTGTTAGTTTTTAGTTTTAGTAGAGGTTTTACGGCGCTCGCAACAGCATAAGGTCAAATGAGCGCCAGAAGATGAAAGGTGTTACCAGAGAGCAACAAACATAAAAAAGAAGATGGGGAGAATAGGACGATAGAAGTTTGATAAGAAAGAAGAAGCAAACCACACCAGAGCACCCGCCAACCACCCACAGCTTTAGGTGTGTCCCAGTATTTATGGTAATTATCACTAAATGAAAAGGCTACTTTTTCTCTCTGTGTCCACGACGCCAGGGCAAGTGGGGCACTCTCAGCTACTGTGTTACCTCAACCCTAGCTCGGACGTCGTCTGCTAAACACTTAGATTGCATGGACAAAGAGAAAAAAAAGACCGTCCACTAAGATTGCATGGACAAAGAGAGCAACCCCCCCCCCCCACCCCTACACCCCACTTAGATTGTACGGACAAAGAGAAAAAAAATACCCCCCCACCCCTACACCCCACTTAGATTGTATGGACAAAGAGAAATAGTACTCCCCGCCCCCTTAACCCTATCAGTACGCTCTGGGGATATTTTGTACCCCTGGGGTTGTATTCTTCACATTCTAGAATACTTGTAGTACGAAAATCTCTTTGAAACTTTCAGTATTTATCAAAAAATAATTTTGACAGACTGCTAAAATTCCCTCTTTGGCACAGAGTTCCCCACGTCGTATGGATACGATAGTAAAACACGACGTACGGATAGGGTTAAATGGTAGCACAAAGTTCCCCACGTCGTATGGATACGATACTAAAACACGACGTACGGATAGTTAAGTGGCGGCACAGAGTTCCCCAAGTCGTATGGATACGATAGTAAAACACAACGTATGGATAGGGTTAAGTGGTGGCACAGAGTTCCCCACGTCGTATGGATACGATAGTAAAACACGACGTACGGATAAGGTTAAGATTCATCATCATCCGGTGCCTTGCCGACTGGCGTGGGCGATCATGGACCTCCACTTCACTCTGTCTTGCGTTGAGGCAATGGTGTCTGTTGTTCTTGCTGCTCCTAGCCATGTTGTCATCTTGTCCAGTATCTTTTCCCTCTGTCTGCCTCTGCCTCTCTTTCAAACAAACTTGCCTGTTGTTACAATATTCTCCAATGCTTCTTTCCGCATTGTGTGTCTGAAGAAATTTGCCCGTCGCTTTCTTATATTCGTCATAAGCTGTCTTCTACAATTTGCTTCAACCAATACTTCTTCATTCGTTTTTCTAGCTGTCCATGACATACATAGCATGCGTCTTATGAACCACAGCTCTGTGGTTGAGATTACTTACCTCATTGGCCCGCACAAATCCCCTGGCCACGTCACAGCCTGTGTTGAGCCGGGAGCGGATGTAGTGGTACAGCAGGTAGTTGGTGCCTGCCACAAAGACCTGGACACAGACAAATAGGTCAAACTATGAGTCACGACGCAGTGAAACTGCTGTTGTTGGGAAAGATAGAGGAACAGAAGAGCAAAGGAGGACAGAAGAGAACAATAAGCACACCCCCCCCCCCCCGGGGGGGGGGGGCGGTGCCACTGACTGAAGTGTCTTTAGGCCATTCCCAAAGGGGGGACATTTCTCGTCCATGCTAAGCAGAATTGTAAATGGGCTGATTCATCAATGTCACGCTCATAGCTGTGCCTGATCTACAACAGGGAACTCCTGCTTTTTCTTTCCTCATCCTCTACTATCGTCATTGTTCCTCTACTTCTTTTGTATGTTTGTCACTCTCTTGAGACCTGCTATTTCCCGGTGCCTTGACAGTCGAAGCAGACCTTGTGCTGTTGAAGCTAGAGAGGTGAGCAGAGTAAGTCTGATTCCCTGTAAGGACTCCTCTGTTGACATCCACCCCTTGGCGCTCACATGGTCTTATGCAGTTGCGAGCGCCGTAAAACCTCTACTAAAACTAAAACGAGAAACAACCACACATGACCTGACACGGGTTCGAGAGTAGACTGACACGTCGGGAATCGACTGATACAGGTTCAGGAATCGACTGATACAGGTTCAGGAATCGACTGATACAGGTTCGGGAATCGACTGATACAGGTTCGGGAATCGACTGATACAGGTTCGGGAATCGACTGATACAGGTTCGGGAATCGACTGATACAGGTTCGGGAATCGACTGATGCAGGTTCGGGAATCGACTGATACAGGTTCGGGAATCGACTGATGCAGGTTCGGGAATCGACTGATACAGGTTTAGGAATCGACTGACACAGGTTCATTCTACAAACTTTGGCTGCTCCTGTTCACAGAGCTTCAAAAAAGGGAAACTGCACATGAACCAAAGTCTACGGGGCAAAAACTAATAAGATGTGATAATTTTAAAAGCAAAACTGCTACTTAATTGTAATTTTGAAAAGACCTGCTTTGGACACGAATCACTTACAAAACGGAAGTGTTGTGAAACAAAAAAAAAACAGTGGCGTCGGTAGCTTAGGGGTTAGGCTACCGGACTCGTAATCGTGAGGTTGCGGGTTCGTCGGTTCGAGCCTCAGCTCGGTCCGAAGTTGTGTCCTTGGGAAAGGCACTTTACACGAAGTTCCCATTTGGCTCGGTTCTTTCGGAGATGGACGTTAAACTCGGAGCCCCCGCCTCTTAAATAACCTAATAATGTTGATAGAGGCATTAAACCCATACCATTTCACCGTTTTGTTGAGAAAATCCCGAAGAATATTTCCAACACAGATCCTTACCTCTAGCAGCGACAGGATCCGAAGCAGTCTGAGGAAAAGAAGCGTTTCCAGAATATACTCCATGGATTCAGACGAAAAAAATAGTCGCTGTCCCCACGAGGAATCGAAGAAAAACACCGTGGCTACCAAATCCGAGCAAGCGATGAGCAAGTTGATGGTGTTGATATAGACCCACACCGTCTTCACGTAGATGCGGCGGATCATGATCATCTGAGAAGAAAAAAAATGTGGGCGGTTGGCGTGAGCTCTGGTGTGGTTTGCTTCTTCCTTCCTATGAAACATCATTCTATCGTCCTTATCTCTCTCGTAACACCTCTAATCTTCTGGCGTTCATATTCATGACCTTATGCAGTTGCGAGCGCCATAAAAACCTCTACCTAAAAAAAAAGAAGGAAAACATTTTTACATATCAAAAGCTTATTGGCTGAAGAAATCCATGCTCTATAAAATCGACATTTTGGAGAAGAAAAAAAATGATATTTTCACCAGTATTTGTTGTGTGGCAATTCAAAGAACATTTATAAAAGCTTCCTAAAAAATGCTTAGATTCTATGAAAATTTATTTTGTTAATGAAATGGAATTAATCTATAATACCATAATGAAGTGTTGAGGAGAGCTGGAATTGAAGAGAATATTTCACCACTACTTATTGTGTGGCAGTTCAACCATCAAAAGGAGAAGATGGAGATGTTTAGAACACATTTTTTAAACAGTTTTAATAAGCGTTTTACGGCACTTGCAACACAATAAGGTCATATAAGTGTTGAGAATGCCAAAGACAACATTAAAATTGCCCTATCCGTGCAGGAGACGAGCAAGTATATGGTGTAGTACCCACACCGTCTTCACGTAGATGTGGCGGAGCATGATCATCTGAGAAGAAGGAAAAAAAACCGTGGGTGATTGGCGTGTGCTCTGGTGTGGTTTGCTTCTTTTTTCCTATGAATCCTAGGAAACATCCTTCTATCGTCCCTTATCTCCCCCTTCTTCTTCTTTTTTTTATGTGTTACTCTCTTGTAACACCTCTAATCTTCTGGCGCTCATAATATTATGACCTTACGCAGTTTTGAGCGCCGTGAAACTACTACTAAAACAAAAAAACAACAACCATAGAAACATAGGAAGGCTACACAAAAAAATTTTTAACCATAGGAAGGCTCACCCTGAAGACGTAGAAGGCGCAGGTGGCGAGCACACAGATGGCGTTCAGTCTCTCCAGACCCATGAAGGCGTCCATCAGACCGTCTCCCAGGAGTAGCAGCTCTGCCACAGCCACCGTCACCGTCGCCTGGACGGCATCCGCTCCAAACAGCAACAGCACCAACCACGGGCTGGCACTTAGCTTGTACATAGTGCTGGGGGGGAAATATATATTACAGTACACGTGCTGAGGGGAAAATATACATTACAGTACACGTGCTGAGGGGAAAATATACATTACAGTACACGTGCTGAGGGTAAAATATACAGTACAGTACACGTGCTGAGGGGAAATATACAGTACAGTACACGTGCTGAGGGGAAATATACAGTACAGTACACGGGTTGAGGGGAAATATACAGTACAGTAATAATAATTGCATTTATATAGCGCATATTCATGCTCCAGAGCATGCTCTATGCTCTTTACAACTATTATTACCCCAGCAGACCCTCTGAGAACACTCAGAAACATTCTCGGCTTCCGTGGAAGCATACAGTGCAAGCTGCGGATTTCACACGCTCAAACACTATCAAACTGACAAGATCGTTCACTGTCTATAGCCGGGTACCCATTTCCACCTGGGTGAAGTGAGAAAATTTTGTGCAAAGTGCCTTTCCCAAGGACACAACACCGGGTCCCTGACGGGATTCGAGCCCTCGACCTTACGGTTGCGAGTCCGGTAGCCTAACCACTAGGCCAACGACGCCATCAAAATCTACACGGGCTGTCATTTAGTTTGTACATAGTGCTGAGGAGAAATATACAGAACAGTACACGTGCTGAGGGGAAATATACAGAACAGTACACGGGCTGTTATTTAGCTAGAACATGGTGCTGAGGGAAAATATACAGTACAGTACACGGGCTGAGGGGAAATATACAGAACAGTACACGGGCTGTTATTTAGCTAGAACATGGTGCTGAGGGAAAATATACAGTACAGTACACGGGCTGAGGGGAAATATACAGTACAGTACACGGGCTGAGGGGAAATATACAGTACAGTACATGGGCTGAGGGGAAATATACAGTACAGTACACGGGCTGCCACTTAACCCTATCCGTACGTCGTGTTTTACTGTCGTATCCGTACGTCGTGTTTTACTATCGTATCCATACGACGTGAGGAACTCTGTGCCATCCCTTTCCAAGGAGGAAATGTACTCGTTAATCCGATCCGTACGCTTTGCACAGCAGCCTGTCAAAATGATTTTTCGAGAAATACTGAAAGTTTCAAAGAGATCTTAGCAATAGAAATATTCTGAAATGTGAAGAATACAACCTCGGATAGACAATGTACAAATGTTTTAAACTAGTACAATCACCAAAATGCCAGTGTGGAGAGGGGGGCCAAACTGTTGAACACATCCTTCAGCACTGCAAGACACACAGGGCCCTGAGACAGGAAACGTGGCCAACCCCACTGACGCTACACCAAGAGAAGCTATACGGGCCGACAGAGGAACTGAGCAGGACGGCCCAATTTATGACGGATACCAGACTTCAAGTGTGAGGCGATCGAGAAGAAGAACTTACCAAATTATTATTTTTTAAAAGAAACTTCCTACCACAACATAACAACTTACATTTTACACTGGGACCCTTCTCGATGAAGACGTTTCATAGTCTCTGCTGTATGACACACCATTTGTCTGGTAACAGCAGATTTCTGGATTGCACAAACAGACCAACAAAAAAAAAATGCCGTGAACAAATACAGGGTTTTGTGGAGTAGTGTCCTTTAGTTTTAGTAAGAGTTTTACGGCACTTGCAACAGAATAAGGTCATAAACGTGCCGAAGATTAGATATTCCTTAATAAATACTAATAAAATATCCCAGTGGGTGGTTTCTATAGATATTGAAAGGTTAACAGCCGAGACAATATCGCTTTTTTTTAAAAACAAGTCCGTCAATATTTTCTAATCGCGAGATTATCATTATTGAACGCTTGTATTGAGAACTGTTATGCAAAAAAAGCGTTCGCTACAAAATTATTTTTTTGTAACTAGAGTCTCGTTTTACCACGAAAAAGTATCATTGGTGAGCCATGACGTAGGTCATATGCGTGCGCACAATGAAGTGCTGTGAACAATTCCATTTTCTGTGCGAAGGGGCTTTGTAGTTTTTGTGTATACATTTATGAAGAAAAGTTTTTTAATTTAGCTTCAAAAGTTGAGGAAAAATATGATTAGGTTAAGACAAATGTATGCAAACTTCTGTGCAAAGTATGGGTGAAATTGATTTACCCGTTAAAAAGATATTGGAGAATATGTTGCACCCCAAATTTTTGACTGAACTATAATAGAACACTGGGTGAGAAACTTGAAGTTACAGACAACACACGGTACTGTAAACATTGACATTTTCAGATCAAGAGAGGAAGGCAATAAACAGGTACCAAAGCACTGACCATGACCAACTGTGGCCAAATCTATAAACTTGCTGTTGTGAGGGTAAGAAATTGATCAATCAGTTAGCTCTACCACTCTCACATTGACCAATCAGTTAGCTCGACCACTCTCACATTGACCAATCAGCAAACTCTACCACTCTCACATTGACCAATCAGCTTGCTCTACCACTCCCACACTGACCAATCAGTCAGCTTGACCACTCTCACATCGACCAATCAGTTAGCTGGACCACTCTCACATTAACCAATCAGTTAGCTCGACCACTCTCACATTGACCAATCAGCTAGCTGGACCACTCTCCCATTCATTTTGCGCACATGTCATCAAGTTCGCAAAGCAAAGGGAGGCTATCAAGAGCCGACTAAGGATTGGAAAATCTCTAATGTACAGAATGATGCTGACCAGGGGGGAGAGGTAGGAGAGGAGAGAGGGGAGAGGGGGGGTTGCAGGCCAGGGGGAGGAGGGAGAGAGGAGGCAGGAGGAAGGGGGGGGGAGAGAGAAGAGAGGAGAGAGGAGGAGGGGGAAAGAGGGGAGAGGAGAGAGGAGGAGGAGGGGGGAGAGGGGGAGGGGTTGCAGGCTAAGGGGAGGGGAGACAGAGGAGAGAGGAGGAGGGGGGGGGGGAGAGGTGATAGAGAGGGAGGGGGAGGCTTCACTCACAAAGGTCGACACGATCCTGGGTGTGCGCCACATTTTCTTGATTTCCGCGACGTTGATCATCCTGGAACAAACAATGCAGTAACTTTAGGGAAACAGGTGGCTAGTTCACAACAATGGTGAAATGGTGTAGGTTTAACGCCCCTATCAACACTATTAGGTTATTTAAGGGGCGGTACCTTCTAGTTTAACGTCCGTCTCCGACAGGACCGAGCCAAGTGGGAAGTTCGTGTAAAGTGCCTTTCTCAAGGATACAACGTCGGACCGAGCTGTGGCTCGAACCCCCGAACCTGCAATCTCACGATTACGAGTCCGGTAGCCTAACCATTAGGCTACCGACGCCGGCTAGTTCACGGAGAGTCCTGGAACAGACAAATGCAGAGAACCCTCCACCCCATCAAGATGCAAAAGATGACCCCCCCCCCCTTACTCACTTGCTCATTGTCCTTCTCTGCCGTTTCCTCAGCTCGCTTCATCAGTTTCCTGATCCCCGTTCCCCCTCTTTACCCCCCCCCCCTCATTAACTTACTCATTGTCCTTGTCTGTAGCTTATTCAGCTAGCTCCGTCAGTTTCCTTACCACCCCCCTCCCTTTCCAACTCACTTCCTCATTATCCTTTTCTGCCGCTTCATTATCTAGCTCCGTCAATTTCCTGAACCCCCCCCCCCATCCTTCTGTTCACTTACTCATTGTCCTTGTCAGCAGCTTCCTCAGCCAGTTCCGTTAACTTCCTCACGCTGAAACCGGCCAGGAGACCCCGCTCAAACTGGAACCAGAAGTTTTGCTGACAGAGAAAAAAAACTGACACTCATCACACATTGTAAATGGGCTGATCCAACAATGTCATGCTCATAACTGTGCCTGAACTACAACAGGGAACTGAGTGCTTTTTCTTTTCTAATCCTTACTATCGTCATGTTTCTCTACTTCGTTTGTATGTTTGTCACACTCTTGTGACCTGCTATTTCCGGGGTGCCTTGATAGTCGAAGCAGACTTTGTGCTGTTGAAGCTGGAGAGGTGAGCAGAGTAAGTCAGATTCCCTGTAAGGATTTCTCTGTTGACATCCACCCCTTGCCGCTCATATGACCTTATGCAGTTGCGAGCGCCGTAAAACCTTCTACTAAAACTAAACTAAAAGACACTCATCACACATTGTATACATCCACAGCACTCAAAGTAGCAGCAAAACACTACTCTACATTCACACCAAAGTACAACTCCAAAGTACCAAAGTACGGATACACGGGGAAACACTACTCTACATTCACACCAAAGTACCAAAGTACCACACCAAAGTACCAAAGTACCGGTACACAGAGAAATACTACTCTACAACCACACCAAAGTACCAAAGTACCGGCACACAGAGAAATACTACTCTACATTCACACCAAAGTACCAAAGTACAGACACACAGAGAAACACTACTCTACATCCACAAGAAAGTACCCCGCCAAAGTACCACACCAAAGTACCAGCACACAGGAGAAACACTACTCTACACTCACACCAAAGCACCACACTAAAAAACCACACCAAAGTACCGGCACACACACACACACACACACACACACACACACACGCACACACACACACACACACACACACAGGGAAACAACACATCCTAACATGCCCGCACCTTGAGCAGCTTGAGGTACTTGCGCGTGGCGGTGGCGGTCATGGCCTGTAGCTCGGACGTGGTGTACACGTAGGGCACGGGGGGACCGGCCCACAGAGAAACACTAGCCTACTCTACTCTACATCTACACCAAAGTACGGACACACAGAGAAACACTACTCTACTCTACATCCACACCAAAGTACGAACACACAGAAAAACTCTACTTTTTTAGTTTTTAGTTTTAGTCGTTTTTACAACTTCATAAGGTCATATGAGCGCCAAAACACTACACTACATCCAAAGTACCGCGCCAAAGTACCAAAGTACGGACACACGGGGAACACTACTCTACTCTACTCTACACACCAAAGTACCAATATACGGACTCACAGAGAAAAAATACTCTACATCCACACCAAAGTACCAAAGTACGGACACACAGAGAAACACTACTCTACATCCACAAGAAAGCACCACACTAAAGTACCTCACCAAAGTACCGGCACACACACACACACACACACACACACACACACACACACACACACACACACACACACACACACACACACACACACACACAGGGAAACAACACATCCTAACGTTCCCGCACCTTGAGCAGCTTGAGGTACTTGCGCGTGGCGGCGGCGGTCATGGCCCGCAGCTCGGAAGCGGTGTACACGTAAGGCACGGGGAGACCACACCTGGGGCACGTGGCCATCTGTCGCTCCCGCTGCTCCTTCTCTTCCGTCGTCTGCGGAACACGAGGTGAAAAGACAGGAGGGGGGGGGGGGGATTTAGAGACAGAATTGGTCGTTTTTAAGGACAAGCGGGCTGACCTAGATTTCGGAGGCTTCCAGAAATCTTGACCTACACAAAAAGTGGGTATTTGCCCTACCTATAGGAGACGTTTGGTTTTATTGGTGCGTATATTCATTTGGTTATAGAGAAAAATCTCCTTGTCTTTTAAAGAAACTGAACAAGGGGCAAAAACTTTTACCTTCGATTTTCTCAAAACAGAATTTTTTCGGAATAGCCCCCTTGTGCTTAAAAGCGACCAATTAGTGTCTCCTGTTTTTTTTGTTTTAGTAAGAGTTTTACGGCGCTCGCAACCGCATAAGGTCATATGAGTGTCAGAAGATTAGAGGTGTTACAAGAGAGTAACAAACATAAAAAAGAAAAAAAGGGAGATACGGACGATAGATGTTTAATAGGAAAAAAAGGATCTAACCAAACCACACCAGAGCACCCGCCAACCGCCCGCATTATTGTCTCCCTTCCACACGGCGGCTCACAAGACTTCAGGATAACTCCCCCACGATTGCTCAACTCTTCCCATTTCGACTGACCTTCCCACCGCTTGGAGAGACAGAAAGTGGAGCATAGACTTCTCGGTTCTCATCTCTACCGTTTGTCAGTCAATCGACCTACAATAACTTTGTAGTAGTAGCAGTAGTAGTATAGGGTTTTACGGCGCTCGCAACTGCGTAAGGTCATATGGGCGCGACATTTCTCCTATAGACCTAAAAGTAAAAGCGACCTAGTACAGTTGTGCTGAAGAGGTATCCAACTTGTAATCCGTCGAGTCCCAGCCCCCGAGATTTTCGCCCTCCCCCCCCCCCCCCCCCCCCCCCAGGAAAGGTTTTTAGGAAAAAAAAAACACAACTATTCTACCAGTTTTTGATTGTTCTTTTTCACTTTAACTCACTCAAAACAAATATTTCTCTTAAAGACCACCTCTAAGAGAAGGATAGCTGTTAACATAGGAAGGGCACTTTCGTTTATTTCAAATAGTTCAGAGAAAAAAAAACACCCTGTAATACAGAAACTGAATCATGAAAGATGTACGGAGATGGATCACGGAACAGTGAGCGCTAATTGTACGGTCAAAGCAACCACTTCGGCACTTATATGACCGTATTGTGTTGCAAGTGCCGCAAAACTCCTACTTAAACAAACAAAAAGAAGCAACCACTGCTCAGTTGTGACGACAGACTTGCCTCTGTGTCCATGTACGGGTCGTGAATCGTGCACATTTTGTTCACGGCATCCCAGTCGGCGTCGGCTAAAAATCTGGGAAATAAAACCCCGAATATTATATTAAAGTCGTCCCTTATCAATACAAAAAAGAATGTGCGCGTGAGTGCCAAAAGAAAGGTACCAAAAGTCGCCACAGAGCATTTTGAGCTACAGGCTGATGAAATGGACCCCAAAAAATCACTTTTTTAAAACCAAAATGTGTTTCCATGAAAAATGATAGTTCCATCATTTTATAACAATGAGTTAATATAGTTTTCGCTTACTTAATTTCTAAATATTGCATTTTGAATAATTTTGAGGGTAGATTATGTTTTAAAAAGATAATGAAAACTGCTTTTAAAAGGTGTTAAAATCTATTCTTGAAGCATGATTTCTCTTCCCCGCCATGTTTTACCATTGAATTCTAATCACGATATTGATATCAACTGAATGCCGAATTGGAAAAGAATTTTCCATGTATAAATACATTAGAAACAATATTGAATTATCGGTTTTTTTCAAGTTTGTATGTGTTCTAAACTTAAAAGCTAATTTTCTCAAAATTAGATCTTTATACCATACCTTGCAAAATGTGCATTATCTCAAAAACTACCTGAGATATTGAGATATCTTAAAATTTTTAAACAAAAACTGTGTTCAGCATTGAATGACCTATTAGGTACAACCCTTAACTCAAACGGTTAAAATCCGACTTTCGGTACCTTTCTTTAGGCACACACACACATTTGTAGTGTCTGTACATAATTAAATATACTAGACCTCATAACAACTCTCTCAAGTTATACAGGTGACAACTGTTGAAATAAAAAAAATCCTTGTCTGCGACAATCTCTAAGAAATCATAGAAAAAATGACACAGCAACACATCGTGAAATCGTGTGTTCTCAGTACGTAATGCTGTTTTAGTTTCAGTAAGAGTTTTACGGCACTTGAAACACAATACGGTCGTTTTAAGTGCCGAAGATTAGAGGTGTTACAAGAGAGTAACAAACATAAAAAAGAAGGAGGGGGAGAAAAGTACGATAAGTGTTTGAAAGAAGTGAAGGAGCAAACCACACCAGAGCACCTGCCAACCACCCACATATAATGTTGTTACCCATCCAGGTTCTCAGTATAATATAATGTTGTTATCGACCCGGATTCTCGGAAGAAAGGAGTCGTAATCCTTGCTTTAAACTGTAACCATACCTCACTCACATCTAAGTGCATTTTTTTGGTCCTTGTCCTTCTTCTTCCTCTGCCTTATCTTTTTTCCTCTTCCTCTTCCTCCTCTTCTCCTCCTCCTCTTCTCCTCCACCTCCTCCTTCTTCTTCTTCGTGCTGCAATGTGAACTGTCTACCCACCAGCACTCAGAAGCCTAAAAAAGGCTTAGATCTGTCTATGAGCACTCACCTGTCTATCTTCCACACGTTCAGCACCTTTTGTCGACTCTCATCCAACAGTCGGATGGCTTTCTTCATGGCCTGTCTCCGGGCCGGGGTCACGTCCGTCAGGCCTGGAAAGTACACACTTCAACAGTCTACGCGTCCACCAAAGTAAGACTACTTCCAGGCTAGGCTAATTGTAATAATAATAATAATAATAATATAATAATAATAATAATAATAATAATAATAATAATAATAACAATAATAATAATAATAATAATAATAATAAATAGCATTTGTATAGCGCATATCCCCGCTCAACAGCAGGCTCTATGCGCTTTACACTATATTATTACCCCAGCAGACCATAGAACACTCAGAAACATTCTCAGCTTCCCGGAAAGCATACATACAGTGCAAGCAGCCGATTAAGCGCTGAAACACTAACTGACAAGATCTTTCGCTGTCTATAGCCGCGTGTAAAGTGCCCTTCCCAAGGACACAACGTCGGTCGGGGCCCTGACGGGATTCGAACCCACGACCTTACGGTTGCGACTCCGAGAGCCTAACCACTAGGCCACCGACGCTAATGTACGAAGAGATCTTCTGGGACCGGCCTTAGGCCCCGCGTCCACTGCGGTTTTTCGTCATTTGCAGGCGGTCCCACGGGTGGCTCTGTAGGTCTGACCTGTAGCTCGCCTAGCTCGCACCGTGCAAATGAACGTATACATCATCGGGAGCCTGAGCAGCGTTGCTGTATGGTCTGTCTGTTGTACGATCCGTACGCTTTGCATAGCAATCTGTCAAAATGATTTTTTGAGAAGTACAGACTTCAACATAAGTTAATCCTATCCGTACCCCTGGCATGGGGTCATTCAAGTCATTGTGTACCCCCGAGGTTGTATTCTTCACATTTTAGAATACTTCTAGTACGAAGATCTCTTTGAAACTTTCAGTATTTCTAAAAAAATCAGTTTGACAAGACTGCTGTGCAAAGAGTACGGATCGGGCGTTCCCCACTTTTATAATGGGCCGAGTCAGGCTGGGAGGGATTAACAATTTTCTTTGATGGACAAAGTGTGAACAATAGAGCAACAGGTGTTGAGATTTTTTACAAGACAAGTGATTCTACGTTAGTTTTAGTTTTAGTAAGAATTTTACGGCACTTACAACACAATAAGGTCAAAATATAAGTGCCGGGGAATAGATGTGTTACAAGAGAGTAACATACACATTAAAGAAGGAGGAGAGAAAAAAGCACGATAGATGTTTGATAGGAAAGAAGGAGCAAACCACAACAGAGCACCCGCCAACCACCCACAGTGATTCTACTGAGTGACCATCCAAAAGCAAAAAAAAAAAAAAAAAACCCCACGCAAAACCCCCACGAAAAAACCACATACCCAAAAACGTCAGCAGTAGGTTCATGGTGGTTGCATTGATCATCAGGGTGGCCACAACGATGAGGGACACGTGAAATAGAATCTGAAAAGAAAAGAAAAGCTTATTCTGAGTAACATCCAATTACTTCTTGTTGTTGATAAAAACGTTTTGGACATTTCACGAGTGTATTAGAAAGCACAGCAAGAATAACAGACAGGCTACTTCCCGCAACGAACAACTTCTGAGGCAAACGGCGTGAATTTCTACGATGAAATTCTAACGTATTTTCTACAACAATAGTAATAATAATGATAATGAATGATAATAATAATAATGATAATAATAATAATAATAATAGTAATAATAATAATAGTAATAATAAAATCATCATCATCATCATCATAAAAATAATAATTATAATAATTATAATAATAATAATAATAATAATAATAATAATAATAATAATAATAATTGTAATAACAATAATTGTAACAACAATAAAAATAATCATAATAGTAATAATTATATAAAAATAATAATAATAATAATAAATAAATAAAATAATAATAATAATAATAAAAATAATCATAATAATAACAACTATAATAATAATAATAATAATAGATTTCACTTCTATATCACATTCCCACAAAAGGAAATGCTCAATGGACTTCACAATAATACAAAGAACACAAGTGCTATGGGACACCCACCTTGCCCCCCCCCCCACCCCCATGGATGGGTTATAGGACACCCCCCCCCCCCCCCCACGGGGGGGGTGTGGAGGTGTGCGTTGTCCGACTTGAAGACGATGAGGCACCCAATGGATGGGCTATGGAACCCATTTTGTCCCCCATTGATGGGTTATGAGACTCACCTTGGCCCCCCCCCATGATGAATTTTGGGACACCCCCAATGGACCCACATTTCCCCCCCGGATGGGCTTTGGAACCCCCCCCTTCTCACACCCCCCCCCCATAATGAACCATGGGACACCCACCTTTCCCCCCACGGCGGGCTGCTGCAGCTCTGTGTTGTCCGACTTGAAGACGATGAGGGCCAGGGCCAGCCCCACAGCGCCGCGGAGCCCGCTCCAGGAGGTCACCAGGCCGTCCTGCCAGGTCAGGCCGTAGCCCAGGCGTCGCAGGAGGGGCGCGAACATCAGGATTGTCAGGCCCCTGGACAGCACAGGTGGTCAGTCAGGATTGTCAGGCCTGGCACTCATGGTCAGTGTCACTGGTCAATGTCAGTATTGTCAGGATTGTCAGGCCTGGCACTCATGGTCAGTGTCACTGGTCAATGTCAGTATTGTCAGGATTGTCAGGCCTGGCACTCATGGTCAGTGTCACTGGTCAATGTCAGTATTGTCAGGATTGTCAGGCCTGGCACAGGTGGTCAAGTGTGTCATTGGTCAACGTCAGTATTGTCAGTCAACGTCAGTTTAGTCAGTCAACGTCAGCAGGCCTGACACAAGTGGTCAACGTCAATATTGTCAGGTCTGACACAAGTGGTCAACGTCAATATTGTCAGGTCTGACACAAGTGGTCAACGTCAGTATTGACAGGCCTGGCACAAGTGGTCAAGGTCAGTATTGTCAGGTCTGGCACAAGTGGTCAACGTCAGTATTGTCAGGTCTGGCACAAGTGGTCAACGTCAGTATTGACAGGCCTGGCACAAGTGGTCAAGGTCAGTATTGTCAGGTCTGGCACAAGTGGTCAACGTCAGTATTGTCAGGTCTGGCACAAGTGGTCAACGTCAGGATTGTCAGGCATGACACAGGCTAGGTGTCACTGTCACTGGTACACCAGCCATCACATTTAGATCTAACAACTGACAAGGCCTTCACGGTGTGAGGCAGAATTTAAACTCCCAAACTTGACCGGGGTGTTAGAAATGAGGTACATCCGTGACAAACTCATCAGGAACTGAAGTCCGCACAACGTGAAGAATGACGACAGGGGATTCCTCAGGCAACCAATTAGGACATTACTTCAGACAATGAACGGACGTTATGTTTTAATTACTTCAGTCAAAGAACAGAGGTTATGTTGTGATTACTTCAGTTAATTACTTCAGTCAATTACTTCAGTCAATGAACGGACGTTATGTTTTAATTACTTCAGTCAAAGAAAAGAGGTTATGTTGTAATTACTTCAGTCAATTACTTCAGTCAATGAACGGACGTTATGTTGTAATTACTTCAGTCAATGAACAGACGTTAACGTTATCTTGTAATTACTTCAGTCAATGAACAGACGTTAACGTTATCTTGTAATTACTTCAGTCAATGAACAGACGTTAACGTTATCTTGTAATTACTTCAGTCAATCACTTCAGTCAATGAACAGACGTTATGTCGTAATTACTTCAGTCAACGAGCAGACGTTATGCTGCAGTTTTTTACTTCAGTAGATAAAAAGACGATATGCTGTAGTAAAGCAAGGAGGAGGGGGTCACACACAATACTGCCAGATCTCTGATTTTTTAAAATAATGTTGCAAAGGTAAGTGTGGATAAAGTTGTGTACCTGTGGGAAACAAAAGGTATTGGCCAATTGTTTTCATGTTGCATAGAGACACATCTTAAGACTGCTGTACTGCTGCGCAATTATACGACCCTTACAACGCGCAGTGCAATCTTAAGATTGCGCAGATCGGTAAATCGCGCCGAACACATATTTGTATATAGCAGTTAGAATACTGTTGTGACAGAACCCTGCCCAAGATGACCGGCCGTCGTCCAGAAGAGAGTGCTCCTCTTATACAGGGTGCCCACTACGTGCAGGATCGGCCGATCGCCTGACTCGATCGCTTCAAAAAACAAACGTGTTTGCTTTCAGTTTCAGGCAATCGAGTCGGGCCATCGGGCCGATCCAGCCGTAGTGGGTACCCTGTATTAGGCAGATGCTCTTCTCCACACGGCCATTATAATATAGGAAAAAATGGAAAGGAGGTGGTTCGTTCAGGTGATTGTCTTGGACAGGAGGTCGTTTGTACAGGTGATTGTCTTGGACATATGGTCGTTTGTACAGGTGATTGTCTTGGACAGGTGGTCGTTTGCACAGGTGATTGTCTTGGACATGTGGTCGTTTGTACAGGTGTTCGTCTTGGACAGGTGGTTGTTCGTACATGTGATTGTCTTTGACAGGTGGTCATAAGAGCAGATTTGACTGAATTTTAAAAAAAAATCATTTTCAAGTAATCTGAAAGTATTCTGCCTACATTGAAAGTATTGTAGCGTCACTAATTCAGTCCCGAGACTAAAGCTGGTTCTGTCAAGTACACAGTTGGTTGGTTCTGTTAAGTATACAGTTGGTTCTTCTCAAGTACAAAGTTGGTTCTGTCAAGTACAAAGTTGGTTCTTCTCAAGTACAAAGTTGGTTCTTCTCAAGTACAAATTTGGTTCTGTCAAGTACAAAGTTGGTTCTGTCATGTACAAAGTTGGTTCTGTCAAGTACAAAGTTGTTTCTGTCAAGTACAAAGTTGGTTCTGTCAAGTACAAAGGTGGTTCTTTTCAAGTACAAAGTTGGTTCCCGTCAAGTACAAAGTTGGTTCTGTCAAATATAAAATTGGTCGGTTCTGTCAAGTACAAAGTTGGTTCTGTCAAGTACAAAGTTGGTTAGTTCTGTCAAGTACAAAGTTGGTTCTGTCAAGTACAAAGTTGGTTAGTTCTGTCGAGTACAAAGTTGGTTAGTTCTGTCAAGTACAAAGTTGGTTCTGTCAAGTACAAAGTTGGTTCTGCCAAGTACAAAGTTGGTTCTGTCAAGTACAAAGTTGGTTCTGCCAAGTACAAAGTTGGTTCTGTCAAGTACAAAGTTGGTTCTGTCAAGTACAAAGTTGGTTCCCGTCAAGAACAACCACAGACTCACCTGGTCACCTGAAGGGCAAAGTAGAGAATGATGAGATAGACGCAGTCCTGAAGGGCAGCATTCACCAAAACTTTTTTGGAAATGATAGAGCCACAGATGGCGAAGATGAGGGTGTTGGCCATAAATCCAAGGGTTTCCCAAAAGCTAGAGGGGGGAAAAAACATAACAAGAAAAACAAAGTGAAGGACGCTGAGTTCAAGAAATGTGAGGCAGCGTGGTGGAATCAGGCTCCCGTCAATATTTGGGCATGTAGAGTTATTGGTACCATCTTAAAGCTTGTTCAATTGTCTTTGTTTGATTGAAAAAATATCCATTTATCTAGAATACAAGTCGAAATATTTGAGAATGAAGAATGTGGGGGTCACCTGTTTTCAGAGGTAAAATTAGTGAGAAAATGGCCGCCAAAGATTAGCTATTTCCTTAAGTTAAGTGTCCGTGGCAACTGAAAATTTACAATTTTTGTGCGTTTAATCAACGTTTTTCAGAAAAATCCACACCGAAATGAGTTCTTTAATGGGCATGAAAGGTGTTGAGCCAAAAAAACAAAACAAATATCTGGTAAAAATTCACAAAACTGCGGGAAAATGCAAGTTTCTTCACTTTGATTATTTTGACGAGAGCCTGATTCCGCCGCGCTGCCTCACAAATGCAGGCTCATGGCTCATAGTTCTTTCCCTGCAGATTATTGAGGTCACGATTTGTTTCAAGGTCAAAATGAGATGGAAAAGAAGCTACAGGTAGGCACCCAGTACTCTGAACCATCATTCGATGCAATTTATTATATTTTTGCAAAAAGGAAATAACTGTCTAATAATCAAACTGAAACCAGTGTCTTATATTACTGTTATCTGATGTGACAACGTTTTTAACTTGCGCAAAAGTCTTGTTTTTACCTGTGCTAAAAATGTCTCTTTAACTTGTGTAAAAGTCTTGTTTTTATCAGTGCTAAAAACATTTCTTTAACTTGAGAAAAAGCCTTGGGTTTTTTTGTTTTTTTTCTATCCCGTGGTTGGGGCAACCATGGGGGCACCACGGCATCTGACAACCAGCTCTCGCCATTTCTCTGTGTCCTCTGCTTTCCTCAGATTGTCACCCAACGTCTTCCCTGTCCACTCTGTGAAGCTGTCCTCTCATCTCCTTCTCTGCCTTCCTCTCAGTCAATTTAACCTGTGCTAAAAAAAAAACGTCTCTTTAACCTGTGCAAAGCAAGCCTCATTCTTATCTATGATATTATTCATCGTTCATTGTTTCGGGAAGCAACATCCCTGCACTCCGCACATGTCCATTGATGCTTCGTTGCTCTCTCCAAAATGTCGCCGAGGGTCTTTCCATCCACTGATTGTGCCAGTGCATAATATCTGGTAGAACGTTCTTGCCTATGATTAAAAACGTCTCTATTTATTTACCTGTGCAGAAAAGTCTCCACCTCTGGGCTGATGGACGTACGGTGAGCGCTCAGAGTGGCCCCTAGAGTCACCACTGTCAGCACGGCTGAGACTTCCAGGGAGGCGGCAGCTGATGGATGGACAGACAGAAGTCTATTCCTTCCTTCTGCTCAACAGTTCATGATGGATGGACAGAAGTCTACACCTTCTTTCTCCACGACAGTTTATGATGGATGGACAGACATAAATCTATACCTTCTTTCTTCTCAACAGTTTATGATGGATAGACAGACAAAATTCTATATCTTCTTTCTCTAAGACAGTTTATGAAGGATGGACATACGTCTATACCTTCTTTCTTCACGACAGTTTGTGATGGATTTTTTGTTTTAAGTAGAGGTTATACGGCGCTCGCTACTGCATAAGGTCATATGAGCGCCAAGGGGTGGATGTCAACAGAGAAGTCTTTACAGGGAATCGGGCTTACTCTGCTCACCTCTCTAGCTTCAACAGCACAAAGTCTGCTTCGACTATCAAGGCACCCCAGAAATAGCGGATCACAAGAGTGTGACAAACATACCAAAGAAGTAGAGGAAAATTACGATACTAAGGATTGGGCAAGAAAAAGCAGCAGTTCCCTGTTGTAGATCAGGCACAGTCATGAGCACGACATTGTTGAATCAGCCCATTTACAATTCTAATGTGTATAAGAACGAGAAATATCCCCCCTTTGGGAATGGCCTAAAGACACTTCAGTCAGTGGCACCGCCCCCGGGGGGGGGGGGGGCAGTTTATGATGGATGGACAAACAGAAACCTATACTTTCTTTCTTCTCAACAGTTTATGAAGAATGGAGAGACAGAAATGTATACCTTCTTTCTCTACGACAATTTATGATGGATGGACAGACAAAAGTCTATACCTTCTTTCTACAAGAGACTTTTATGGAAGGACAGACAAAAGTCTATACCTTCTTTCTCAACGACCATTTATGATGGATGGACAGACAGAAACCTATACTTTCTTTCTTCACAACAGTTTATGATGGATGGACAGACAAAAGTCTATATCTTTTTTCTCTAAGAGAGTTTATGATGTATGGACAGAAGTCTATACCTTCTTTCTTCACGGCAGTTTATGATGGATGGACAGACAGAAATATATTCCTTCTTTCCCCAAGACAGTTTATGATGGATGGACAGACAGAAATCTATACCTTCTTTCTTCACGACAGTTTAGGACCAGTTCACTCACCAATCAGAAGTTGTTTACAGAACTCGAGGGATGTGTTGTTGTTGTTATGGGTTGTTTTTGTTTTGTTTTGTTTTTTTTGGGGGGTTATGGGTTGTTTTTTTTTTTTTGGTAAGTGTTTTACGGCGCTCGCAACTGCATAAGGTCATATGAGCGCGCGAGACACACCAAACATTTTGAATTGGAGGGAAATTTTGAATTTTGCCCGGGTGGTGGCCGAAGCCTACTCTTATCGATTTTAGACCACAAAGGGATCTTTAACGTGCGCAGTTTGCACACGGGCCCTCTGAGATTTTTCACCCTTGTCCGCGAAGGCTAGGTGTAGATCTTTCCTACCAGAAGATCAGGGGTGTGGCAGAAAGACAGCAGTAAGAAGGAGCCAAGGAGTAACAGTAGAAAGGCTGCAGAAAGAATCAGGAGCCAACAGTAGAGGGCAAAAGAGGTGAAGGGGTGGGAGCAGAAAGTGAAGACGAAAGCAGACGACAGAACATTGCTAGAGAGCCGGAAAGGAGGCGAAAGGAGACAATTTTAAAGAAAAAAATTGTTAGGTCTCTACCCGGATTTGAACCTGGGACTTTTGAATGAGAGGCCAATACATTAACCTCTAGGCCACGAGAGCTCACGTCCTATGTAGAAAAACACTCCTATATCATAGAGAGAGATCATGTACTCACCTATGTAGAAAAACCCTACTATATAAATAAACCATGTACTCACCAATGTAGAAAAACCCTGCTATAGAAATAGACCATGTACTCACCTAGGTAGAAAAACCCTGCTATAGATATAGATCATGTACTCACCTAGGTAGAAAAATCCTGCTATAGAAATAGACCATGTACTCACCTAGGTAGAAAAACACTCCTATAGAGATAAATCATGTACTCACCAATGTAGAAAAACCCTGCTATAGATATAGATCATGTACTCACCAATGTAAAAAACCCTGCTATAGGTATAGATCATGTACTCACCAATGTAGAACGCCAAATAAGCCATGGACAGGGTGATGGCGATCTCCGTCAGACTGTCGTTGAAGGTCCACTGCAGCCAGAAGACGGAGATCTTGGCCATGACGTAGCCCAGCAAGGGACCACCGAGGGACACCCACACCATGTTCTTTATCATATTATACACTGTGGGGGGAGGAGGGGGGAGAAACAGGTAGAACAAAACCTCTGTTATCTTGTCGTTCTTTATAACATTATACACTTGGGGGGAGGGGAGAAAAACACAAATTATACAAGTTATCTTGTTGTTCTGT